GACAAACTTGACGAATGCCTCAGAGATCGCCTAATTGCTGGAATAAATAATCCCGATTTATATCGTCAGCTCCTATCACTTCCATCGCCGACTTACAATCACGTAAAATCCATCTGTTTGCATTATCAGGATGTTTCTGATATTACAAGAAGCCAGACGACTGTTGATCATCAAGTCTTGTTTGGCTCAGCCAGTCGCCGAGTTCATGCCGAGACGAGAAAACCGGGGCAAATCAACTCTTTCAAACCATGCACCGAGAAATTCAGACAGTTTAAAGTGTGGTCAAGCTGATAGAAAGATTGGACAATGTGTCTTTTGTGGAAAGTTGCATTCACCGTATACCTGCCTGCATCGGAATTCCAAATGTCATCATTGTGGGAAAGTTGGACATATTCGTAGTGTTTGTCGCCAGTTCAGAGGTTGTAATGTTGTGAAACAAGTTGATGATTCCACAGATAACTTGCCCGACGATTTTCATTCGCTGACATTGGCTGTGAATACGAGTGGCCATTTATACAACACTTTACGTTTCGGAAATGGTATGTCACATCGTTTCATTGTTGACACCGGTAGCGTAGAGTCTCTTATTTCTAAAACGAGTCTCGATCATCTGTACCCTGACGCTCAGCTTGATTCTACACTCATCACTATTAAAGGTATTACTGGTCATACCATTCCGGTGATAGGATGTTGTACCTTACCAGTGCTAGATAAGCATTTGAAACCTGTCGAGTGTAGATTTGTTGTCATTCGTCAAGGCCCGTCCATACTCGGTCTTAAAGTTATGCAGGCACTTAAAATAAGTGTCAATTTTCTGTCACATACTGATACTGACACCCAAATTCGTGATTTATTACACGATTGTTCGGTTACCTCTGGTGGAATGAGAATTCCGCCTGTTAAGTTGGAAGTGGCCGGTGATCCAGTTTTCTGTAAACGACGTGTACTTCCATTTGGACTTAGAGAACCTGTTCGAAAGGTACTTATGTCTCTTTGTGAATCAGGAATTCTCGTCCCAGTACAAGGTTCACGATGGGCCACACCTATTGTCACACCGTTAAAGCCGGATGGACAGACACCGAGAGTTTGTGGTGATTACCGTGTCACTCTTAATACGAAGCTGCTGCAGCGTAGTTGTGTCACGGAAGAACCTGATTCTATTCTCTCGCGTTTACACGGATCCAAGATTTTCTCGAAGCTAGACTTAAAAGATGCATATCTGCAGATACCACTGACTGATGAGTCTAGTGAACTGACCACAATCAATACACCTTTTGGGTTGTATCGCTATAGATTTCTTCCCTTTGGTCTTAATGTGTCGCCAGCCATATTCCAAGATGTGATGAACTCCATTGTGAAAGATCTGAAGGGTGTTGAGGTCTATCAAGACGATGTTTTTGTACATGCTATTAACAAACCGACACATGACTACCGATTACTGGCACTTTTGACTCGCTTCAAAGATGCTAATGTGAATATCAATCCTAAGAAGTGCTTAATTGGTGTCCATGAAATCAGTTGTCTTGGTTATCAGGTTACATCTGAAGGATTCAAACCAGATCCTGATCGGATAAAACCATTGGTTGATGTGAAGTCCCCCACCAATGTTCATGAGCTTCGATCACTGATGGGCGCTTTACAGTACTATTCCAAATTCATTTCTGGTTTTGCATCCATTGCTGATCCTTTATTCACCTTGTTGAATGACAAGAGTTTTGTTTGGTTAGACAGACATGAACATGTTCTTCGGAAGCTTTTAAAAATTCTTACATCTGGTTGTGTTCTTCACACCTTTTCTCCTAAATTACCTACTGTGCTTTTCACAGACGCTTCACCCACTGGTATTGGGGCTGTGTTAGAGCAGAATGGACACCCCGTTCTGTGTATTTCCCGTCGACTAAGCAATGCTGAAAAAGGATATGCTCAGACTCATCGAGAAGCTTTGGCTGTATACTGGGCAGTCACTAGACTTCACAAATACTTGTTTGGTCACAGATTTACCATTGTGACAGATCATGAAGCTCTGAAGTTCATTTACAATCCTTCCAGTTCTTTAGCTAAGTCTTCAGCAGCCATGGTCCAAAGGTGGAGGGTTGCCCTTAGTGCGTATAACTATGTGGTCGAGCACAGAAGTGCGAAGCTCATTCCTCACGTCGACTACTTATCACGTACTGCAACGATATTTGAAACCGATTCTGAAATGAGTTGTTTACTCACCCAGCCGCTTCCAATCGCTCGTTCTGCCCTTATCAATGATACTAGAAGGTATTATGGGTCATTGATTTCTGCTGTCAAACGTGGTTGGTCGGTTTCTCTCAAACGGGAGTTCCCACAATTTTATGTGCGTCGTGATGAATTGTGTGTTACACCTGATGGATTACTATGTGTAAATGACCGCATTGTTATCCCGACGACTTTGAGATCAGCTATTCTAACGGATTTACATTCCGGTCATCTTGGTGTTGAAAAGATGAAGTCTTTAGCTCGATGCTTGTGCTGGTGGCCCGAATTAAATGCAGATATTCGACGAACTGCTTCTGATTGCCCGAACTGTAAACACAAAATTTTACGGCAACCGTCAAAGTGGACACCATGGCCGATGACATGCGAGCCCTGGCAAAGGGTACATATGGATTACTGTGGACCATTTCTGCAGAAGTACCATGCTCTTGTGGTGGTGGATTCTTATTCAAAGTGGCCGGAGGTATTCCTGACTGATAAACCAAATTCTGATTTTACTGTCCGTGCCTTGAGAAAAGTGTTTAGTAGAGAAGGAGTCCCATTAGCTGTGGTAAGTGACAATGGTTCGCACTTCTCGGCTTCAGAGGTTACTAATTGGCTACAGAGCCTTGGGTGTCGCCACCTTTTTACCGCTCCACGACATCCATGTTCTAATGGCCTAGCGGAAAACTTTGTTGCAACCTTAAAACGTTCTATTACCTCCTGTGCTCCTACTTCTTTTGATGAACTTGATCGTTGTGTTGATAACTTCCTTCTTCAATACTGTAATTGCGTGCATTCCTCTACTGGAGATACACCTGCCAAACTTTGTAAATCCAGACCATTGAGGTCAAACATGCTTGCCTTGGGGACTGCTGAAGTATCTTATTTCAGAGGCAATGATTTACGTCCCTCATCTGGTATCATTGTTAACAACATTGTTAACCGCATGGTTAGAAGTTTGGATCTCGATGATTGTTCGGGACACAGACGGCATGTTGAGCAGATACGATACAAGGATCCCGGTCAGTTGTCATTCGATTCAGTGTGCACTAAAAATACTAATGTCGATTCAGTTTCAGATCCTCATGAGTATTCTGAGCAAAATCAGTCTCCAAGAAGATCTGCCAGATTGCAACAGAAACCACAGCTGAATTACAGAAACCTGAAGTTGCATTCAAGCTACGGAGGATGTGATAATTGTACAAACAATACTCAGTGATTGTTTATTGTTATTCTTTTCACCTTTTTTGATGTAGAATACACACCCCGCGAAATTCGAATTCCAATTCTGGTGTTCTTATTCCGAGTCGTGACTAGTTTGGGTGGAGTTCAATTATTTTCTGATTCAGAACATCATACATACCCGGTGTGACTGCGCTTGATGTGCATGTTGACAAGGTGCCTACCTGTCTATTACCCACTACCTCGTCTATACTGGCTCCAGGATACAGTTGGTCGTTGATGCAGGGGGCGGGGTGCACGGTCCTTGTGGCCATGCTAGGCTCGAAGAGCGGTCCCATGCACTCAGTGTGGAGCGGACTATGGTCCAGCCACCGTCTTGTGTGCGCTTGATTCCTAAATACAGCGTGCTTATGTTTGCCTGTGAAGGAGTGTGGGCCGCATCCCTTGATGAAACGTGGCTCCCATCCACATACCTCCCGATCTTATTCCTTCGGGTTTACACTGGATATGGGGTATGTGGTTGGAGCTGTGGGTGGTGCAGCGCAATGCATTAATGGTCCCTCTGTAGGCGCAGACGTCCTGTGGCTAACCACAGTGACATCAAATCCGAAATCGGATGCCGCCAACGATATACATATATAAGCACGCACAAGACTGACTGCGGTGGTTGAATATAGCTGGCGGTTCACGCGATAAATAAACAGGAAGAGGGACAAAAGAGTATGCGAGTCCTACAGGACGCAGCGTCGGGATCAAACGGAGCAGCATTTACAAATCTTAGAGCCAGTAGCCGAAAGGATGAGCCATTTGCCCTGTGACCACCAAGGTAACCGGTTCGAACATACGTAGGTGCCGGTGATCGCATGCCAGAGAAGCGTCGGTGCGGCGCAGCAGTGCACTGTAGGTGCTTGTACATACACTAGCTGAAGTTGCTGCTGTAGGTCCTTCAAAGTGCTCAACCTATCTGTTACTCAAGCCAACGGCCGCCAGCTTTGCGCTGATTCAATGGATAGAACAGGGACAATGCTCGGAGACACGCTCAACTTTGCTCTGAAAGGAGGGTGCCGACAACACAAGCGCTTGTTTGGTGTTCGTAACGTTCGGCCAATTATGAGACATCTGTACGATGCGCCCATTGTGCATAACTGGAGGAAGATAAGTGCTGCGTTCAAAGTACGGTCAATTCCAATTCGGCGGCGTTCGTGTAATCCGTCTATTTTGCGACTTTCAGTCTCGCGACTTGACGGCTCTAGGGTTAACACCTTCAGGTCAACTTTATTCAACCGAGCCCCAGTTCGCTTCGACAGTCAGCGTTAGCATGATAATTTGATAACTGAATGATGGTAGCTGGGAGATGGAAATGAACTTAACCGTGATTAGACATGCGAATGCAACCCCCGGCCTAAACAAAACAATATATGTCACGATCACTTATGTAAGCCGCTTGATGGCAGCCGGTGAGGAAGATTAATTAACGGCGACTGTAGGAAAAACAACTATTTCTTAGTGCCACTGCGTAGCACCCAGCGGCACGACGAGTTAACACATCATCTCCGGGATCAGACCTGAAACAATGCCCGCTGTGTCAAACTCACCAGTCACGGCGAAGACTATGCACGGTAAGTTAGATTGAGTGCGTTTCCGTCTCTCTGCCTCCTTGTTATACGCGTCCATTGCATCAATAGCCATGGTGAAATCGTCGTCCGGCGTCCAGCTGCAGCTACTTACAACCAAGACGGGACGGTCTCGTCGCCACTGCGGTTGGCTACCGCCGAATGCAGCGGGAAGTGCAGTGATCTCGGTAAAACGAGTGCGACGAACTGACCCATCTGGGTCTTGCAGACATGGATACACAGTGCCCAGTCTAAAATGGAGAGAAATAGGTCACTAAAGAGTGGTGGGTGAAAGATGTCAAAATATTCAAAAGAAACGATGGTAAGAAACTGAAAAGGCAAACAATCACCTAAATGAAACAAGGATGAAAAATCGCGTAAGAAAGGTTATACTCGCTATATGAGTAATTCGACAGCCAGAGGCAAAAGATCAGAGTCATTGCGGATACAAACTATTGAAATGGCCAAACTCGAAAAATGCATTCAAGAATACAGTATGTGACAGTATCTTGGTCAGATACACCATGTCATCTCGCTGTGACCGTGACTCGTAATCCTGAAGCGTTGTCATCAAAGCATGTACAATTAGGATTAACATTGTACACTGGGATGGGCTTTCGATTGTTTATCCTAACTCGTTAAATGTCATGGAAACAAACGGGGAGCATTACGCCGATGAGTGGAGAAGTCATCATCTGGTTAGTTAAGGCCGACCTGCTCACCACCTCAAGAAGTTGGTTAGCTCAGGTAATCAACAATGATCTCGGCACAAAAACGGGAAGTATACGGTCATCATAACAGGTGTCAGGGTAAACATAAAACGTGGCAGAGATGGAATTAAAAAAAGAAAAAATCGATAAAAATACAAGGGAAGTCGCAAAGGTGTGTCAGGTTGAATGGCAGGTAGTCGCATCGGTCACGATAAAGTTGCTATTTGGAGGCTGACACAACGAATGGGAAGTCCGTAGAAGAGGAATAGGCTGGAAAGCGAGTTCATGGGACTCATGTCTGCACACAGGTACCCTTGGCACTACGCTACTAGAACACACAGCAGAAAGGAATTCAGGGTTCTACTGAGAATATGCTGGTGCGACACGCCGGATCCGGTTGAAGACCCCTGCCACAGGACTATGAAACCACGAGGTAACCTCGCGGCATCAGTTTACTCTACGCAGAGTTCGCGTACAATGGAACAATGGTTTATAAAGAGTAAGAAAAGCACAAGTCCCGTAGTTTGTTAGTAGAAGAAATTCAGACACTACATAAGTGAACCTGATAAAATACGCATAAAGCGATAGAGTCATTGTGTTCAGAGGGATGGTTATGGGAGTGAAATAGTACGGGCAAAGCCAAATCCCAATATGCCGCAGCTCATAATGTCTCGTCTGTCAAGGCTGAAAGGCATAAAAGTTCACATCCGCCGAGACTTGGAACCCGAGGACAGGGATCGTTTGAAGACTGCGGTCATTGAGCTCAAACGCCGTACAGAGGTAACGGCTCACGGTGGTGTTCTGTTGTACATAAAATCGTCACTATCTGGCAAACTTATCAGTACCTATCGGAGCGAGGATAGTTTATGCGAGCAATTGTGGTGCACAAACCGTCTCAGGCGCGCAGAACTAATAGTGGGGGTTATCTACCGGAGCCCATTAAACCGTTGTTGCGATTGGATACCATATGTACAGAAGCACATGAGCCGCCCTCAGTTCTTACTGATGGGGGATCTAAATCTACCTAAGAGAATTTGGCCAGACGTTCGACTTCTTCCCGGTCATGGCAACGTTGAGGCTCAATTCGCTAAAATGACTATTGATGTCTCCCTCCTTCGGCATCTTGTCTTGACCTAATGTTTACGAGCTGCGAGCAGAAGCTAAAAGAGATCAGAGTCATCGACCTCTGGCGAACAGTGACCACTGCTCTATTGTAGCAAGCTTAGAACTGTCGTTACCATATTACAATCAACAGAAGCCGACATTCAACTATTGGAAGACGGACTTCGACGGACTCGTCCAAGCTGCAGGTCAGACTGATTGGACATTACCACATGATGCGTCACTTGAGGCCTAGTGGTCATTAATAAAGGGGAAGCTTAACTCGCTCTGTACTCGGTTCGTTCCCTTACTCCGGCAGTTCGAAGAGGAGCTAGCACCCTCGGCCACAACTGCACCCAAACGAATATTTGCCTACTTGAAACGTCAACTAAAACCTGGGGACGACCTACCGGTCTTAGACAGATTAGACGGGAAGACACATTTCAAGCGCGGAGCGCGCGGACGCCCTGGCTACGCACTTCCTCACTGTATTTTCCAGTAAACTGGCGGCTGTTCCAGTACCGGCACAGGTTGCGCAAGTTTTGCTCGACAGCCTACAATGTGATGCAGTCGAAGTACATCAGCTACTCGTCAACCTCAATGGTGCAAAGCACCCCGGACCAGACGTACTTCACCCACTATAGATCGCTCTCTGAAGGATCCGTTCCGAACGACTGGAATGCTCGATAGTTAAACTGCTTCCCAAGGGTGGTGGTCCGAGTAAAATAGAGAACTATAGACCGATCTGTTTGACTTCGGTATTATCCAAAGTTCTCGAGAAGGTTGTGAAAAAGTGTCTGCTGTCGTTCTTCGAATCGGTGGACGTATTGACGCCAGCGCAACATGGCTTTACAAAAGGGCGATTCTGCATCACCAACTTGATGTACGGAAACCACCAGTGGGTTCGAGCTCTCAATGAACAGAAGGATGTTGACGTGGTCTACATCGACTTTAGTAAGGCGTTTGACAACACGAGGTACTCCTTCGTAAACTGAGGACACGGAATCAGTGGCACGTTACTTCAGTGGATACAAGAGTTTATTGTGGGACGAAGTTTTAGAGTACAGGTCAATGACTATCTGACAGAATGGTCCCCATCGACCAGTGGCGTGCCTCAAGGAACTGTACTTGGGCCAGTATTATTTCTTATTCATATCAATGATCTTCCGCAGCAGCTCCAGTCACCATGTGTCCTGTTTGCAGATGATTTGAAAATCTGGAGGATCATTGAAAACCAGGACGACTGCGCTCGCCTCCAGCATGACATAGAGCGACTGTCAACGTGATCCACTGAAATGCAACTCCCTCTTAACGCAAGCAAGTCGGAGTTCATCAGTATCACCAGACGTCCAGCCACTCGATCATACACCTTGGATGGCCAGTTGATCCATCCCAACACATCTGTCAGAGACTTAGGAGTTCTCTCACGACATGGTTTAAGATCACTAGAAAATACAGAGAAATTGTACCGTGCGGGACTTCGTATGCTCTGGGCATTAAGACGCAGTTTCTCCACATGGTCCGAAGAAACCGTCTCTCGTCTATTCACCACTCTCATTAGACCAATCCTTGAATACGGTGCCCCAGCTTTCCATCCGATAACCTAATGGGAAACTGAAAAACTGGAGAAAATACAGCATATCGCAACTAGAATGATACCAAGTCTACGAAAGCTTCCGTATGAAAAACGTTGTGAAAGGCTCGGACTCTACACACTATCCTATCGCCGAGTAAGAATTGATCTTATTATGACCCATCGAGTACTACACTTGAATCACTTCCCCATACTGCGGCCAATATTTCCCCTGCGAGAACCCTGTAGAACCCGAGGACATCGTTACAAACTCAGGGTCCCCAGCATGAACAAAGTATCACATCAGCTTTGTATCGAACGAAGAATCGTAAACTTATGGAATACACTATCAGAAGGATTAATAGAGGCCGATTCTGTGAAGTGTTTTAAAACCCGTATGGATGATTATTTTGTAAACCTGTGCTATTGTGAAACGATGCACATACAGTGCCAAAAGAAGACATTGTATGTCCGGAAATAATGACGCTAGTACAAATTTTTAACCGAACACGGATAAATGATTAACGGACCAGACACAACTGCTGATAATTCACAAGTAAATTTTGATTTTTCGTAATTCGATAGAGTTGTACAGAAACCTTTCTATTTGCTCTTAAATACAGTCTCAGTCTAAAGTGCTGTAATGGTTAATATTCGTAGTGCGTGACAAGCAGGTCGCTCAATACACTGCACAAATTTACGTGCGTCACTGTGAGTCATAATTTCAAAGTGGGTAGTTAACGAGAATAAATCCAGAGTATCCGTTCAAGTAACAAAGTGTGGAGCGTTCAATTCGATATCCAATCATTTCTTGAAAATAGATAACGTGGGGCAGGGACTCAGTATGGAAGGGCGTTCCAGGGTTTGCAGACGCGGAGGGAATAGTTTCGTCGACTATCTAGACGACAGTGTTGTTTGCTCAGTTTCAGGCTATTTCTTCTGAGGTTGGTGTTCGGGCTGAGTTTCAAAAGGTGGCGGAATACGTGACTGGGTTCGCTCAATATCTGGTAGACTAATATGAAGTTTACATGTAGCCGCTGATAGCGTCAACGGAACAGTCAGAGTGTCTTCAGCCGTTGTTGGTACAGAAGGCTGCACAATCCGTTGGCAAATTTCGTTGCTCGACGTTGGGGAGTTTCGAGCGTTGCAAGCTCACGTTTTCGCCAAGGATGTCAAGCTTGGATTGCGTATTCGACGTGGGGACGCATGTAGGCATTGAGCACCATAGAATGTGGATGAATCGACTACCGAATACCTTCTGCAAAAGACCACTTTTGTAGAGGGTTCCGACTGTCTGGAACAACCGAGGTCGTCTATATCATCACACTGTCACATTCCTGAGAGCTTGTCTACAGATCATGCGCCCCAAGTTTGGAGATGTAGGCGTGTCGATGGCGGATGTGAACAACGCGACACTTTCCGCATTGAATAACAGTGCGTTCCTCACCGACCATTGCCAGGCCTCATCGACCTCGTAAAACACCGCTAGGGATGTGGTCCCTGTGACAAAAATTATTTCAGAGTATACCGCAATCCGAACTGAAACTACGTGTCGCAATCCAAGCGCATAGGCGGAACTCGGCCCGAATCTGTTCCGTTGCATAAATGTCCTGTGCGCTACCCTGCCACTTAGATTATTGTATGCCATACTACTTATAAGTAGCAAGATTAAAGACGAATAGTTTGAACCAGACAAAAGTGATCCGTTACTAGTTGGTGTCAGAAGTCAGAATACCCACATGGTACGTTCGGTTTGCAGCAAGACAGAGCAGTGGCAACAAGTTTAGGTCAGCTCAGCGGAATTGGTAAAGAGATCGATGTTGATAAACATGCGCTCAGAATCAGGTAATATGTTCGTCGAGAGTTT